CATTTGTTCGCACAAGGTTCCGTTATGTGTTGTTTCACTCGTGTTGTGTTCAATCGGACCGTTGCCAGTGTTTCAGAGAAGTGTTTCCACTGCAGCGCTGGCCTCATGGCAGGATCGGAGCGTTGCGCTCGTCGTTCAGAATGGCGCTCTCGGCCCAGCGCGGCCAGCATTGCTAGATCCGAGTAGTCCCACCAGCCCTCTGGGCGTCGGTGGTTTAGAGCGTTTCCTCTTCCACCCCTCCTTCTTCCCCTTCGGGGAGGGGTTTACCCCTCCCCCTACCCCCTCCCCACTGACCTGGACAGGGGGTTCCGCGGCGCGCTGGAGCGCCGAAGATCGACCCCTGGAAAGGCTAAAATTCGACACCCCTCACGAGGATCGTGGCTCCTGGGGGGGGGACTCTAATTAAGGAGCCCCTCTTCTTTGATCGATTTCCTCCACGATGGCCGCAAGAGGCCCCCAGGATGCCCCAAGAGGCCGCAGGATGGCCCCAAGATGGCCCCAAGAGGCCCCCCAAGAGGCCCCCAGGAGGCCCCCAAGAGACCCCCAAGAGGCCCCAAGAGACCCCCCAGAGGCACCCAAGGTGCTCCCAGAGGCCCCAAGATGGCCCCAAGAGGCCCCAAGAGGCCCCCAGGAGGCCCCAAAGAGGATCCCCAACGGCCCACAGAGGCCCCCCCCGAGGCACCCAAGACGCCGAAAAGCCCCTCAGGACGACCCTCTACTCGCCTGGGCGTCGTTTCTGGACGGGCTGGTGGGGATACGCGAAGCGTCTAGAATTTCCTCATCGTTGTCGCCCCCCCCAATTCCCCTCCTCCGCCGTCCCCTCGTCCTCCTGCTCCTCCCGCTCCGCCTGCTCCTCCTGCAACTCCTCCTCCTCCTCCTCCTCCTCTCCTCCTCCTCCTCCTCCTCCTCCTCCTCCTCCTCCTCCTCCTCCTCCTCTTACTTCCAAATTATCATCCCCATCCTCTGCCTCAAGCTCATCCACTACCTCTTACTCCTCCAATGTGCCCAGCTCCTCTTTCTAATCATGCCACGAGAGGGTCGTTGGGGGTGCTCCTGTCAGCGAACGAAGGAACATCAGCGCAATGGGAAGGGATGGATGGAAGGTGCGATGCCAGATGTGGCACAATCGCACCAAGATTACCTCCTCCCCTCCTTGCCATTGCTCGGACGTCCATTCCCCGTGCATGTGTCGGTTGCGTGCGTGTTTGCTTGTGCTAGCTGATCCAGGATGCTCCTCGAAGGTCCTCGCCGAGAAAGAAGCGCACACGTCGGAGCGATACCAAGCCTCTCTCCTCCTCCCTCCTCCTCCTCCTCCTCCTCCTCCTCCTCCTCGTCCTCCTCCCAGCCCTCGTCCTCCCCTCGTCCTCCCCTCGTCCTCCTCCTCCTCCTCCTCCTCCTTCTCCTCCTCCTCCTCGTCCTCCTCCTCCTCCTCCTCCTGCTCCTCTTTCTCCTCTCGTTCCTCTTCCTCCAGCTCCTCCTGCCTCCTCCCTCGTCCTCCTCCTCCTCCTCCTCCTCCTCCTTTCTTAACCCCCCTCCGGTCGCTCTCCCCCCCCCCCCGACCGCAGGCGGCGGCCGCCCTCCGCCCTGAGCGCACTCTCCCCGCCCCCCGCCCGAGGAGGGGCAGGAGGAGGCAGGAGGACTGAGAAGGATCGGGGTGAAAGATGGGGGGAGGAACACGGCGGGGAGGAGGAGGAGGAGGAGGAGGAGGAGGAGGAGGAGGAGGAGGAGGAGGAGGAGGAGGAGGAGGAGGAGGAGGAGGGGGGGTTGAGAAGGAGGAGGAGGAGGAGGAGGACCAGTGTGAAACCAAGAGTCACCAACGATGTTGGAATCAACCCTCCCTCCAAGCTCCCTCTTCACAGGCCCCCATAACGGTTCATGTCCATTGAGGGGATGGCCTCGTTGGGAGACAACCGTTTGAAGATCCTGAAGCATGCAAAAACATTGTCCTCGGGACTTCAACGCCACGTATCAACCTGGCTGCTGCGTCTTGACAGTCCGAAATCGTGTCAGAGCATCATCTTTGGGACGCCAGCACCGCGAATCAACATAACCGTTGCACGCGCATAATCCTGTACCCTTTCCGAGAAACCATTTCTGGTACGTTGAATATGGGAACCCGTGAAACTCTTGCAATGCTTGATAACGAATGTTCATGGTACTAAGGCGATAACCACATTTTGAAAAAGCACCACCTTCAATCCGTGACGCCCATGCAATGTTTGAGAACGAATGTGCGCGGCGCTCTGGCGAACACCACATTTTGAAAACCATCCGCCCTGAATCCGCGAAGCTGTTGCACATGTTTAAGACGAATGGCCGCGGCGCTAAGGCGCTAACCACATGTTGAAAAAGAACAACCTTCAATCCGTGAAGATATTGACGAATGTGCGCGGCGCGCAGGCGAGAACCACAGATTGAAAACGACCCGCCCTGAATCCGTGAAGCTCTTGCACATGTTTAAAACGAATGTGTGCGGTGCTAAGGCGAGAGCCACAATTTGAAAACCACCCGCCCTGAATCCGTGAAGCTATTGTACTGCTTAAAAACGAATGTGCGCGGCGCTCAGGCGAGAACCGTATTTTGAATGGAACCGCCTTCAGCCCGTGTTTTTTCCCAAATGTTTGAAACGCATGTGTGCGGCGCTACGGCGAGAATCACATTTAAAAAACCACCCGCCCTGAATCCGTGAAGCCCATGCAATGTTTGAAAACGAATGTGCGCGGCACTCTGGCGAGAGCCACATGTTGGAAAAAACACCCGCGCTGAATCCGTGAAGCTGTTGCACATGTTTATAACAACAGTGCGCGGCGCTAAGGCGAGAGCCACAATTTGAAAACCACCCGCCCTCAATCTGTGAAACTGTTGTCACGTTTTAGGCTTAAGAGTCGTCAGAAATGGTGAGGAAGTCTCCGGCGAAACGCCCACCCGAACCCTAAAAACTGGCCTCGGGGTGCGACAGGGAGGAGTGATCTACAAGGAGAAGGAATTGAGGAGGAGGAGGAAGAGGAGGAGGAGCGAGGAGCGAGGAGGAGGGGGAGGGGGAGGAGGAGGAGGAGGAGGAGGAGGAGGAGGAGGAGGAGGAGGAGGAGGAGCAGGAGGAGGAGGAGGAGAAGAGGAGGAGCAGGAGGAGGAGGAGGAGGAGGAGAAGAGGAGGAGCAGGATGAGGAGGAGCCTGAGCAGGAGCAGGAGGAGGAGTAGGAGGAGGAGGAGGCATTGGAGCAGGAGGAGGAGAGGGACGAGGAGAAGGAGGAGGAGGAGGCATTAGGCACTAGGTGGCTGGGAGAAGAATCCGTCGCACCCGACGAAATTGAATCATTCAAAATCAGATATGATTGGGGCAATCGCACCTGGCCTTCAGGAGCTGGGCCTCGCGCGCGCGCTCTGCACGATACACTTCCTACCGCCCCGCGCGGGTCGTCAAAGACGTGGAACTGCGCAACGCAGTATGTACAAATCTAAGGCCTCGGGGACATACATTCCGTACGCGTCTGAACACGCAGCGTCGGCGTCCGCACCTGGGGGCCCTGAGACAGTGGTCCTCCCCTATCTCAGCCGAAGGCTCACACGGGTCCTCGAGCTTAGGAGGTGGGGGGGCGGTTGAATCAGGATGGAGGCTTCTCCGAAGCCTACTCCGTTGAGTCGCCAATCCTGGGTGGCGAGGGCCGAAAAAGGGCCCAGCTAAGCCCTTGCCCAGGCCTGTGGCTATGCTGGACACTCGCCCCACACGAAATACAGAACAGCACTGGCGGCCCTTCGGGGTCTCCGACCACGGTGCTGGCGGCGGCGCTGGACCCCCTCCCTGGCGCGCGGAGCGCGCCAGGGGCGGCGCCGGGGGGCCCCAGCGCCGATCCGAGAAATCCGCGCGGAGCTCCGAGTTTTCATGTTTATGCCACTTTCTGTTCCCCTCATTCTCTGGTGGGGCCACAGGCGAGCCAGGGCGCTTCGCCACTGCCTGACACTCCGCCACCATGGCGGCTGCCGCAGCCTGCTCCAGCTGCGGCGCCAGCTGCAGCCGAGGCCGGCGGGCCGCAAGCCGCCTCCGGGAGGCGGCAGTCGATGGGCGCGGCCTCCCGGCGTGGAGCACGTCGAGGGACCTGGCGCGAGAGATCTGCGTCGGCCACCGCAGCTGCCGCGGACGGAGCAGGATCAGGAAGAGGAGGAGGAGGAGGAGGAGGAGGAGGAGGCGGAGGTGAGGTGGAGGCAGCATCTGTCAGGAGGAGGAGGAGGTGGAGGAGGACGAGGCTAATTGGTGGAGGTGGAGAGGAGGAGGAGGAGGTGGGGCTAGGAGGAGAGGGAGGAGGAGGAGCGGAGCTAGGAGGAGGAGGAGGGGAGGAGGAGGATGGAGGAGGAGAGGAGGAGGAGGTGGAGGTGAGGAGCATCGCAGGAGGAGGAGGAGGTGGAGGAGGAGGCATTCCATTAGGAGGAGGTGGAGGGAGGAGGTGGGGCAGGAGGCGGAGGGAGGAGGAGGAGGAGGAGAAGGGCAGGAGCAAGAGGAGGAGGAGGAAGGAGGAGGTGGGGGAGGAGGGGAGGAGGAGTTGGAGCATCAGCAGTGATGAGGAGGGAGGAGGAGGAGGAGGAGGTAGGAGGAGGAGGCATTAGGAGGAGGCGGGAGGAGGAGGAGGTAGGTGGAGGAGGAGGTGGCATTAGGAGGAGGAGGAGCATCAGGAGGAGGAGGAGGAGGGGGAAGAGGAAGGAGGCATTAGGAGGGAGCAGGTAGGCAATTAGGAGTTGGAGGGGAAGAGGAGGAGGCGGAGGGGAGGCGGAGGAGGAGGGGAAGGCATTGAGGAGGTGGAGGCATCAGGAGGAGGTGGAGGATGGTATTAGGGGAGGAGGAGGAGGAGACCATTAGGAGGAGGAGGAGGAGGAGGAGGAGGAGGAGGCGTTAGAAAAAGGAGGAGGAGGAGCAGGCCTGCCTCCACTCTCAGTCTCCCCCCTGCCGCCCCCTCCCCCCCACCGAAGGAGGAGGCGGCCGCGGGCGCGGCGGCGGCACCGCCGAGCTC